ACAGATGAACAAGGCCTTATTGTAGAAGATTTAGTAGAGGAAGTGGTAAGTAATATTACTCAAGTGTTGTTTTCTACTCTTGTGAATTTTATTCCTTTAAACATTAAACTTAATGTTTAAATTTTTTAAATTATACTATGTTTTTTTCTAAAGAGAACAGAATTCTTTAACATTCTTAATGCTAAAATCATTTTGTGTTAATACTTTTTGTATCATATTCTTCTAAGGGAAGAGAGGAAGATCCACATGAAGGCAAAATGTAAGTGTAGAATTTTTATACATAAGTATCTCGATATATGTTCTTCCAGCATACTAGTTCTTGCTTTTTTATATGCCAGAGGCATCATCCCATAAAAAGATTGTATGCCTAGTTACATATTGAGCCTAATTATTAACAGTTAGGCAGTACAAATAAAGATACTGAGGCTGAGCACTGAATTAGTGCTATTTTAATGTGCATAATGAGAAATATTTTAGCACTTCAAAAAAACCCTATAATCTAATTTTGATTCACAAGCATATCTGGATTGCTTTGTTTAGTATTAGTCACATTTTTTTTTTAACATTGAGCTGATTAATTAGTACAATGGAGAAGTTCTTGAATAACAAGTTGTAGTACAAAACGAATGAAATATATTCATCTGGATAAAAGAACAATAATAGAAATAAAGCTTGCTTTGAAATGTTTTCTGAACACATAATTTTAATTAAATTTCCAAATTTAGAGACATCCAAATCCTTGGGTAAATTACAAATAAAAATGAAAATCAATATTTCGAGATACAAGTAAAAAAGAACCTTAGCTGACTGGAAAACAATGCACAGGCCATTCAGCATACATAATAGAAAGGGACCACTCCAACCACCCTATCCCAAGGCCAGGGAGAACAGCCAGGTTTTTAACAGTTTCCTAAACATCATAAGAAAGAGACGTGCAAGAATCTCTGGGCGGGCATTGTTCCAGAATGTAGTGGGGAATGTTGGGAGCATCATGCTTTGCCTGCAGGACCTTTTGCAAACTGTGCTGGGGAAGAAACTGCAATAGCAGCTCTGCCTCCAAGATAATACTGTTTAATCAAGTGGATCCAGAGCACACTCATTCTTTTTGTTTGTACCGAACAAGCAGAAACAATTGGAGATAGGCAGTCTCTGAGATAGCCAGGCTGTATGCCATGAAGGATTTTAAAGGTGATAAGAAACACCTTGAATTTCACTCGGAAACCAACTGGCAACCAGTACAGTTTGCAAAACAGCAAGGTCCTGCAGGCAAAGCATGATGCTCCCAACATTCCCCAACACATCTGGACCAGCTCTAGCTTCCAGATGGTGCTTTCATGATATAGACCAAGTTGCTGTTTTCTATTATGCGTCATTTGAGGAAAAACTAGCAGTTTTAAAACTTACTTACCAGATATTGTTGACATTTAATCCAACTGATACAAAAAAAAAATGAATATTTTTAATGTTACATTTCTGGGTTTTTGTAAATGCATTTTAATTGTCATTTGTAGATGTATGTTTCTTAAAGCAAACCAAAGAACTTGCCACTAATATTTCCTGGTGTTTATTGTTATTGTTGTATTTTTAAGATGGTTCCATGGAAAGATTTCAAAACAAGAGGCTTATAGTTTGCTGATGACAGGTACTTCTGAATTTTAATTTATAGAATATCTGTTAATATGAAATGTATGCTAGAATTATATGATATTGTTCTACCTCCAAATGTTGAAACATGGAAGTCAGAATGTAGCATCTTTCTATAACACCTTAGAGCAGTTACCGGTATGTCCCTTTTTGAGATCTCCAGAAACTGGAAAAGACAATAGCACAACATCAGATTATGACACAGTTACTGATTTGTGTAGTATTTGCATTTCTCTTGAACCATTTTGTCTTTTTTCCTTTTTTTGGGGGGGGGGGAATTTAAATTTAAATCAAAATGTTACCAAGTCCTAAATATGTGTATGTCTTCTGTACTAAATACTGTGGTTGAATTAAGGCTTCTTTTAAAAAAAGAAAAGGTTCCATTTTTGATTATATAAAACATAATTGAATAACATCATGTAACATTTTTGATAGAATTAGAACGGTGAAATGTCACACATGTGCTTAGGCCAGGATTTCTCTGCTTTTTAGGGGGTTTGGTGGAATGGGGAATTTGCCTTTTTTTAAATAAAATAAAATAAAACTATTTTAGGACTTGCAATATATTATTCATGTGTTTCAAACTGGCAGGGAAAAGAATTGCCAGTTTCCACAATTTTATAACTAAAATCCATTGGAGTAGCCAGATGGGAGTAGGGCTTCTACTGAAAATTGAGGGCATACATATGGCTCTGGGATTGTAGTTTCTCATGTCTAAGCTAAAATTTAAAAATCATTCTTTCTAGTATTTGCCCAAATTGTCTATTATAAAAATATGTTTTTTCTAGCAAAGGTTTTTAAATTAGGGATTATTTCAAGACATAGAAGGCTTTATTTGCAAAGTAAGACATGAAAAGGTTTGACTTTTTTTTAGAAATTCCTGACTCCTTTATTACTTAATTAACAAGAATATCCTAAGAAAAAATGACATGCTAAATTCCAGATCAGTAAAATAAAACGTATTTATTGACAAAGATCTGTAACTTTTTTCCTTTTTTATAATTAGTGGGTCAAGTATCAAGTTTTCTTGTGAGGCCTTCTGATAATACACCTGGGGATTACTCACTCTACTTTCGAACCAGTGAAAATATACAGCGTTTCAAAATATGTCCAACACCAAACAATCAGTTTATGATGGGGGGCAGATACTATAACAGGTATGTTGCAAACATATTCTACAATTTGTGTTATGTATTCTGTTAACTGCCATTAATGGTATATACTGAATTCTATCAGATTTTGTGGTTTTCTGGTGTTTGCTTTTTTGTGCAGGGAGGGAGAATATATAAGTAACGATTATTTTTAATTTGAAAGATACAAAATTAAAAATGTATATAATAGATTGAATAAAAATTGATTACATGTATTCAAATGAGTAAGAAGATGTGTCCATTGTCAGATCTTAACAAATAAAAAAGGCTTGGCATAAGAGCAGATTCTGCTATATTTCTTTTAAAAATATCATTGCTTCATCACTAGACACTGAACTTAATTTTCACATGAGAGAAAATTTAGGACATAAAACTGCACTTATACTGATTACATTTCATTCTATTTTTCAAGTTCTTAAAAGTATGTTGATGTAGACTGTGTTTGAATAACTTTTAGTAGTGCTAAGTTTAGTTCTCACTTCCAAAGAAGATTTGCCCTAAGCTAGAATTGATGTCCATCCCAACCGAGAATTTCTCTCGCTTCCAGCTTGGCTTCTGAGTGGTTAGAAATCCTGCAGCTGGTGTAACTGAGAAAGTATCAAGTTCTCCTAGCTGAGAAGGTCATTGAACTGTCATAGAACTTCAAGTTGAAGAAGTTATGAGGCTAAACAATTGTATCCTTTTGCATATCCCACATACAACCTTCTTGAGTATCTTCTTCACTAAATCTGTCTGGCGTTCGGACATTCTCATTGAAAATCAAGCTAGCAGCAGAGTCAGCCTTTTTGAAGGTAAACTATCTTTCGCCCATTATCTAGTTGTCTAGTTCTTAAGGGTATGGCAGTAGAAGCCTCCCATTTGAAAACTTTTGACGTGTATGAAACAGGAGTCCACAGTCCTGAATTAAGCAATAAAACCCCCATTTCTACAGGATCTGGTTTGTGTAACTTGATAATGAGGAAAAACTAAAAAGTGTTTTCTTTTTAGAAAACATTCTCATCTGAAGCCATCTTGAATTACACTGCATGTACTAGTTTTTACAAGCTATTCTCAATGGTTGTTAATAAGTAGAATAATTCAACCTTACGTTTGTGTCTGTACTTCTTGTTTAGATACTGAAATTGCAACCTGATTTTTACACTCTGAGTGGAAATTTTACTTATGCTTATCTAAAGCATCCTGCTGGATCTCACCAACTATTTTCTACCGCAGCAGCACTCTTTGCTTTTTCTGCTCTGATCCTGAGAAAGCTACAAAGGAAAGAGAAAAAGCCCATTATATAAGTCAAGTTTTCCTGAACCCAACCCATTATTTTTACATCAACTTCCCCAAAAGACACTTTTGTCCTAATTAGCTGAGTTTTTTGGTATGTGGTGTACCATGTATATACGTGGTAATTAATAATTAATTACCATGTATATATTAATTACCATGTATATATAATTAATTAAAAGTAATACCTTTAAACTGTTCATTGCAGGATTTCATTCATATAACATTTTTAAAAAATTTCTTTTGTCACGAGATATAGTTTCATTATTGGATAGCTTCTACATATGCACATGTGCGTGAGAAAGAGAAAGACATATTATCATGAAATTTTCAAAATTAAAATGCTTTTTGCAGAAATATAAAATAGTTGATATGTCTGAGAGTTATAGCTGTAAAGGATACTATTGAAGTAGTATTTAACACTTCCAGATCCAGCTGTCAAATTATGAAAGCAGTCGATATTGGAGGTTCAGTAGGAGCAATTTAAAGGCCTCCACACACAATCTGAGCATGGAAAGGTCTAAGCTTCATTGACAGTCTAATCAATTTTTGAACATAAAATCTAAACTGAATAATAATAATAATAATAATAATAATAGTATTTGACGTACTGTATTTGCTAGGAAAATGTTTTATTAAAACTATAATAGTAAAGTTGCTGACAAAGATACAGAGAGGATCTGTTTTACCATTTACCATACTAGGTTTTATGTATGTAGCATATTTATATTTAGAGGTTTTTGGCGTGCTGATGTCATTGCATGTTTACATTATAATTGAGAATGCTAAAGAGGGGGGAAATGCTATATTGATGTTGTCTGTACTCAGTGAAATTATTCAAATGCATTTCAGTAAGCATGATGTACAGACATGTAAATGATGTGGCCTGCAAAATTTTTTCATAACTATTCCAATATTAGCTTTAAATGCAATTTTATTCAGCCTCTTATAATTTTTTCCAGCATATATGGTATGAGAATTTATTAGGTCCATTGGTAGTGGCACACTTTTAAATATGTCTTATGTAACTCTTCAATATATGTTTTTTCAGTAGCAAACCAACTGCTTCCATATTTTTGTTAAAAATATTTATGGTTAATAGTAGACAAACTCAGTTCAAAGCAGTCATAACCTAAAATATTCAGTATTTTACTATATTTAATTTTCTTTTCAAATTTAATTGCTAGGTTTTACATATAGGTTACTGAACATGAAAAGTGTATGCTATGCATTTCTATTAGCAAAAGGAAGGGATATGCAAAATGTTCCAAACACAAATTGTTACACATAGAGAATGGGGTTTTTTTCCCTGATAGTTCAACCTGAACTGAAATGTATATTTATGATGTAAAGCATGGACCAAAATGAAGTTATTATTAGCCAGTAAGAGTAGGAAAAGTGTAGGGAAAGGAACTGGTATTGGTATCTTTAGCAGCTCTAGATTCTGTGGCTGACTGCTATCTTTTTCCTTTCTTTTATGAAATTTTATTTAGAAAATTTTAGCCAGCTGAATTTCTTTGCAACTGCCTGCTAACACTCTATGGAAAACACTGTGATATACAATAGGAAAGAGGGTCATAAGACAAAATTGTACAGATGACCGTCTCAAATATAGAGCAGTCTCTTCAGAAAATCCTACTTCTCTTTCCCTGGCTGTAATGGTATATAGGAAAGACCTTGGGAGACAGGGAGAAGAGATGTTGCCTAGAAAACTATAAACTATAAAGTTGTGGGCTATGTCAGATAAGAGACAGCAGAGCCCACAATTTTATAGTGGGTGGGACAAGAGGCTCAGAAGCCTAGTTTTTTTACCTGTAAAGGAGATGGCAGGAGAGTCTGCCTAGTAAAACTGACACCCTCCTTTTCCTTATAAATATAAGAGGAAGAATTTGATAAATATCAGATTTCATAAAGTTGAATGTATTGCTTTTATTGAGCAAAGTCTCTAAAAATATGGAAAGCAGGGGGATAGTATAAAGCTTGATAATATAATGAATACTTTAAGTATATGAGCGCTACACTTCTGAAAATGTAACAAAGTATACAGTTTACTATTGGTTTTAAATACATAGCATATTTCAATTCCATTTTTCTTTTCTGCTGATGTCATTGCATGTTTATTATAATTGAAAATGCCAAAAAGAAGAAAAATGCTCTGTTGATATAATTTATACACAATGGTTTATGCATGATATATAGATTTGTAAATGATATGGAGTGCAAGATTTTTTTTGTTCGTTTGAATATTGGCCTTCAAATGCAGTTTTACCCTGCCTCCCTGTTATAATACACTGCAAACCTTTCAGTGTAAATGTGATTAAGATTGAATATGATTTTTTTGTTTTCCTTCTTAGAGATAAAAACTCTCTCGGGGCAATTTACCCTGCTTCCCTGTTATAATACACTGCAAACTTTTCAGTGTAAATGTGATTAAGATTGAATATGATTTTTTGTTTTCCCACTTAGAGATAAAAACCCTCTCAGGGCAATTTATATAAATAAGAATAAATTAACAATAGACCAACAGTTTATAAAAGCCACACTTAAAATATTCCTCAACCCCATCTTAAAATGAGACATTTCAAAGCAATATATCAAATAATAAAATGCAGAAAGATTTTTTTAAAATATATTTTATTGATTTTTTGCAATAACAATCTTTAGTGCTTAGTAAACAGCTTGTTGTCTGGGTTCATAGATTTGAAAAAAACAATCAGTAATAATTAATTTCTATAATTCCATGATCAATATATTAATTAATAGTATGTTTCCTTGATCTTCTCTTTTTCCAATGTTATTCTCCTTTGTCAACATTAGATAAATATAATATTTTCAATACATACAAGGTTAGATATAAACATTTTTTGTGTTTGTACAGATAACAATAACATCCATATATAACATCTTTTCTAATTAACATGTTTCAATTGTATTTGTAAAAGTCATCTTGTTAGGTCCCTATGTGTCCTATTTTCACAATTCTTATTTAAACTTAATTTTCCCTCAGAATTCAAACCATTCTTATCTGTCATAGTTTTCTCAAAATTAATTACCTAAATATCCAAACTTTTCATTTACATACCCCATCCCAATATTTTCATATTTCATATATTATAAAGATACCATACTACTTATATATCCTATAACATCCACATATAACATCTTTTCTGAGTGGTTTATATTTCAACTATGGTTTCGCGATCATCGCAGCACTCCTCCTTTGTCGCCTCTCCGGGGCGACCTTTGACCCATTTAGGGTCCCCTGGCAAGGCGAAATCAGCTGTGGGGTGCAGAGCCTCGCAATCCCTCGGCCAGATCGGTACAGGGTGGAACTGGAAGTCTCAGAAAGAAATTGTATTTATGCTTGCATACCTGCACTTTTAAAAATGATGAGACTGGATATGCCAGATACAAAACATTACATAGGGAAGAGGGAATACAGTTGAAAATATACTGTCCCTAGTGTTAGATCACTTACCGAGACATGCTACTGTTCCTGATCTCAATGCTATAGATGAAGACTGTCATATAACTTGGTCCTAAACCATTTGTTTACATTAGAATTTTGTGACTTAGAACTTTTTTCTTATACTTTGGGCCTCTGCTTTATATTATAGAATTTCAGTATTATTTATATGGTACTAAATACTAGATACATTAAAATATATACATTCATAATTTTTTTACAAAATTTATATTTTTTATTTTTCAATTTTAAAAATACATATTCGTAGAAAAATGTATTAATTATGTGCTATTAAATATAGTTTTAAGAAGTTACAGTTGCATTTTTTTTTACATTTAAGTGAATCCCAAAGTGAACAGAAGCTGGTACAAGGGTATAGTGTTAAATATAACATACAGTTCTGCAAATTTGAACAGGTTTTCCATTGTTGTTCAAAATAAGAAGAAAAGCAGTAAATGTGAAATTTGGCCACCAAGTTAATTTAGTGCTACTTTCTTTTTACAGTAAAGTTGTTGCTGAGTGCCCCCCCCACCTCATTAAGTCTACAAAGATTTAGAAGTAGTTTTACAAATGAACCCATATTCTGATCTTTATAACTTCTCAGGATGTGATTGTTCTATAATCATAGACTTCTCTAAGCAGCTATCTAAGCGTGTACAAATGAAGATAATTCATTCTTCCAAAGAATTTTAAAAGTAAACTATAAACACTTCTAGCTATCAATTTCAACTGTGAGAAAACAGATAACTTAACAGATCATAAATAATGTGCTGAAAATTTAGCTGACACTGGAGTAGTTGTCCCAGTACAATGTTACTTAAGTGGTAGTGATCTGCACTGAAGAGTTTTCTAAAGGAAATGTTTTCTTTGACTTCATCACAAATGACATTATCTAAAATGTAAAGATAAACCTTGATAAATCTGATACATTTTGGAACAAAGTGCTTTGAAATGATAATCCCAAAGGTGTTTTTTCCAAAAGGCAACTTGACTTTCTTGGTTTTGTCTTTAAAATGTTTCGCTTCTCATCCAAGAAGTTTCTTCAGAAATAAAGAAACTTCTTGGTGCTTTTTGAAGAAGCTTTTTGAATAAGAAGCAAAATGTTTTCAAAGAAAAAAACCCCCAAGAAATTCCAGTTGCTTTTTGGAAAAAGCACCTTTGGGATAACCATGACCTGGATGATTGGGAATCTCCAAAGACACTTTGAAATGATAGAACAGAATTGAAATGTTCAGCCACAACTACATAAAGTAAGTTTGTAGAAAAAAATGGATGAAGCATTTAAAGCAGCTAGTGGCACAGTAAATATTGTGCAGGTGAGAAAAAGAATGGATTCAATTAAATATCAACAGCTAATATCCCGGTCAGTGATAAAGTTGAAAAGTTGGGTATTTCAGAAAGACAACCTAAGACAATGAAGTTCTTATAGTAAAGAAAAATAAAAGACTTAACAAAAAATAAAAATAAAATACAGAGTACTTACCAGGAAAATAAAAACAAAGTCTGGCCTTCAGACTTGAATGGTAGTGAAAATATGTCACAAGATCTCAAACATGCAAGAATATTTTTGAACTAAAAGAGTTCTTCAAGAAAAAGTGGAAAAGCATTCCAAAAGCAGGAAGAATAGTCTTTGCTAAATACGGTACTTCTTCAGAAACTGTTATTTCTAGAGAGGCATTAGAAATTGCTAACTGGAAGAGTGTCCAAACTTTTTATAACTGCAATGTTTTCTTATTTTTGAATCAATAAACAACTGCACATGAATAGTATGAATGCATTCAAATTTTCAGAAAGATTCATGGTGTATTTAGCTTTGCCCTTTGTGTAGGTTGTGTCAACTTCTTTTCATTTGGGAATTCATTAAAACATACATTTTGAGTAGAAAAGCCTGTACCCATTTATGTTTTATAGCCATTCTATTTTAATTTTATAAAATTCTAAGTCTTAATTGACTCCCTGTTTTGTTTTTAACAGTATAGCAGACATCATAGATCACTATAGAAAAGAACAGATTGTTGAAGGCTATTATCTTAAAGATCCTGTTCCAATGCAGGTAAGTCAATACATGAATTTTTAATTGTAATTAAAGCTTTTAGTAATTGCAAAAATGAGACAAAGTCATAAAAGAAAGATGGCTTATTATTTTTTATGATTTGCTCTTGCAAATGTGTATTGAGAGCCAGTTTGGTGCAGTGGTTAAAGTGCTGTCCCAGAGAAGAGGGAGACTGAATTTTAGTCCCACCTTAGGCATGAAAGCCAGGTGGGAACTTTGGCCAGTCACTCTCAGCCAACTCATGTCACAGGGCTGCTGTTGTAGGGGAAATAGGAGTGAGGAGTATTATCTGTGTTCGCTGCTTTGAGTTAATTTTAGAAGTAATAAATGCAGGATAAAAACATCAGCTAAATAAAATAAAAAAAATTGGCTTGTTCTTTAGGTAGAAAGAGTCGTAATTGACATTAATGTTAGCAATGAGAAAAAGCTTATTCTATTTTGAATTTTTATCTTTTATAACTCATTCTTTAATTAGTATCTTGTAGCAACATGAACTAATCAGTGTGCTATAGTATGCATTGTAGAATTCTAATGTTTCAGAATGAAAAATTAACATATTTTTTTCCTCAGCATCAAGGGCAAGTGCTTAACGATGTTGTAGATGGAAAAGAAATTTACAATACAATTCGGCGAAAAACTAAAGATGCATTCTATAAAAATATTGTTAAAAAAGGATACCTTCTTAAAAAAAGTAAGTAAAAAACGTAGTTAAGAATGGCTGTGAATATCTGACAATTTAGTTAAGTTTTGCTTTACTTGTGGCAAGTACGTTCAGTGTCAATGACCAGAATCTTGTACATACTGCAATTTAGGGAATCTTGAATTATACTAAATAGAGCCAATTTGGTCCAGTGGTTAATGCACCAGGATAGAAAGCAGGAGACCATGAGTTCAAGCCCCACCTTAGCCTGAAAGCCAGCTGGGTGACTTTGGATCAGTCACTTTCTCTCAGGCCAACCCACCTCACAGGATTGTTGTTGTGGGGAAAACAGGAGGAAGGTGTGTTGGGTATGTTCACCACCTTAAATTATTTGTAAAAATAATAAAGGATACAAATAAATTAAAACATGGTGTGGTAGAAACATAATGTAATCTTATATGCTTATACAATTTGTATGCTTTATATAGAGTGTAACTACATATTACTGTCTTTTTTAGCTTATATTTACATCTTAATATTCTTAATTGCCTTTTTTTCTGCTTATGATGTATAGAACTTGAAACTACCAATCAGAGTTACAATATAAAAAAAGAAAAGTTCCAGAAAGATACGAATTTATGAATCCAGTCTGTAGGGAACCTTCCCAGCAGTCTGTCAGAATTTGAGTTTGGCTAAATGCTTACCTTATGTAACATTCCTAAATTGTTAAAAATCCATAAAAAATATTTTTGGGTAATTTGAACAAATAAGGCAGGATTGACAACGATGATTTTAGAAGTCAGACTGTCAGAGATTTGATGATAGAAAATCCACATATTTTATTCTGCCTCGTTACCCTGTTTACAGGTAAAGGAAAGCGGTGGAAAAACTTGTACTTTATTTTAGAAGGAAATGATGCTCAACTTATTTATTTTGAAAGTGAAAAGCGAGCGACTAAACCCAAAGGATTGATAGATCTTAGTGTATGTTCTGTCTATGGTGTACATGATAGTCTGTTTGGCAGGTAAGATATTCTATTCATTTTTCATAAATACCATTTTCAAATATTTTAGGGTTAATTTCATTAATAGAAGCAAATGTAAAGACAAATGTCAGATATTCTGACAATATCTGAATGGGATTTTAAACTTGGAGAATAGGGGCAACATATATGTCCAATAGAAATTTAATCAAATTTAAGAAATAATGATTCCCATAGATAACAATATATGATGGAGCATGGCAAACAACCATTTGCAGATTGGCACCTAAGGGGGTGGTCTAGGTATCTACAAATAATATTAATTAGCAGATATGTAAAAATGGAAAAGTTAAAAACCTAATTGTTTTTTTTACTTTTTTCTATTTTAATTCTTGTTAAATTTGTTCCATTCATCTATATTTCCCTTTCATTTGTATGTGTATATGTTGTGTATTAACAATACAAGATTTATTCTCAGCCTTGAATGAAAAATCCAAATAATTTTAATGCTTGTAACAATAATCTAAATTGTAATTAATATTGATAGAATATCTTTTTTTCTCTTCTCTATTTTTAGTATTCTAGTTTATATAAATAATACAATGTCAATAATTTTTAAAAATAATAAAGTGTACAAGTCTTGAAAACAAAATAGCAATAGCACTTAGACTTATATACTGCTTCACAGTGCTTTACAGCCCTCTAAGCAGTTTACAGAGTCAGCCTATTTGCCCCAACAACCTGGGTCCTCACATTACCAACCTCGGAAGGATGGAACGTTGAGTCAATCTTGAGCCAGTCAGGATTGAAGGAATCGAACTCCTGACAATGTGAGTTAGTCTGGAATACTGCATTCTAACCACTGCGCCACCACGGCTCTTATAAGGCGACTTAAAAAGGATTCTTGAACAATAGAAAATATATTTCCCTCATTTTTTCTTTTTTAATTTTGTATTATTATAACTCTTGATACATTATATTTTATGTTGTTGAAGAGCTATTGTAAATCGCCTATTGTAAGTCGCCAAAAACATTTTTGTTTTCAAGATTTGTACAATGTATTGATTTTTAAATTTTACAGGGAACAAAAAATGAGAGTAGAATACAGTAGAGAATACAATAGAATACAATAGAGCTGGAAGGGACCTTGGAAGTCTTCTAGTCCTGCCCCCGCTCAAGCAGGAAAACCTATACCATCTCAGACAAGTGACTGTCCAGTCTCTTCTTAAAAACCTCCAATGATGGAGTGCCCACGATTTCTGAATGCAAGCTGTTCCACTGGTTAATTGTCCTCACTGTTAGGATGTTTCTCCTTAATTCCAGGTTGCTTCTCTCTTTGATCAGTTTCCAACCATTGTTTCTTGTCCTGTCCTCTGGTGCTTTGGAGAATATTTTGACCCCCTCTTCTTTGTGGCATCCTCTCAAATACTGGAATAGTGCTATCATGTCACCCTTATTTCTTCTTTTCTTTAGACAAGCCAAACCCAGGTCCTGCAGCTGTTCTTCATATGTTTTAATCTCCAGGCTTTGGATCATCTTAGTTGCTCTTCTCTGAACCTTTTCCAAGGTCTCAACATCTTTTTTGTAGTATGGTGACCAAAATTGGTTGCAGTATTCCAGGTGTGGTCTCACTAGGGTTTTATAAAACGGTACTAATACTTCGTGTGATCTTGATTCTATGCCTCTGTTTATACAACCCAGGATTGTATTAGCTTTTTTGGCTGCTGCTGCACATTGTTGGCTCATAGTCAAGTGATCGTCCACTAGGACTCCAAGGTCCCTCTCACAATTACTGTTTTTGAGCCAGGTCTCATCTAATCTGTACTTATATCTTTGATTTTTTCCTGTCTAAATGTAAAACTTTGCTTTTCTCCACATTAAAACTCATTTTGTTGGATAGGGCCCATTGTTCAAGTTTGTCTTTCTGAATCCTGAGCTTGCTTCTGGGGTGTTGGCTATACCTGCCAGCTTAGTGTCATCTGCAAATTTCCCCTTCTATTGAATTTCTTGTTTTTATTTTTCAGTGGTATTGTGCTGGTCTGGGCTTTTATGATCACATTTTTGAGAGTTTCCCACGCTTCTTGAGGTGTTTTCCCCTTTAGGATTTTCATCCATGAAATCTTTCCTAGGTTCTCTCTGAGTTTGTTTAAATCAGCTCTTTTGAAGTTTAAGACATTGGTTGAATTATTTTCTATTGCTTGTGTTTGCATTATGTTTAATTCCAGTATGATGTGGTCACTTTCCCCCAAGGTTCCGGCAACTTTAACTTCCTCTATCACGTCTTCTCTATTAATAAGAATTAGGTCCAGTATAGCTTTACTTCTAGTTCCCTACTCTATCTTTTTGATGACAAACCTGTCGGCTAGTTTGGTTAGGAATCTGTTTGCTCTCCCACTCGCTGCAGAGTTTGTCTCCCAGCTGATATCTTGGTAGTTGAAGTCTCCCATTACTACTGTGGTGTGCTTCCTACATACATTTGTTAACTGGTTGGCAAAGAGACCATCTATTTCTTCTGATTGGTTGGGTGGCCTGTAGTATACCCCTATGGCAATGTCACTTTTTTCCCCTTTTATATTGATCCATATAGATTCTGGAGGGCTTTTATCTTTGTTCATGTGCATTTTGGTAGATATGTAGTATTCTCTTATACACAGTGCAACTCCTTCTCTTTTTGTAGACCTGTTTCTTTTGAACAATTTGTATCCATCCATCAGTCCATTCCAGTCGTAGATTTTGTCCCATCACGTTTCTGTAATGCTAACTATGTCATACCCACCCTCGTGTACTATTGCTTCTAGTTCACCCTGTTTGTTCCCCAAGCTTTGAGCATTAGTATATAAACATTTAAGACTTTTATGTCTGTCAATGGGTATGTTTCCTGGATCTCCTGATTGTTGTTTGATTTTCTTGGGATTTATGATTGGTTTTGTGTTCTACAGGTTCTAATGATTGGTCACCCTTCCCCCTCAATTTTAGTTTAAAGCCCTTCTAATGAGTTGGACCAGTCTTCTTCCAAGTACATTTTTCCCTGTTTTCGTGAGGTGCAGCCCATCTCTTGCCAAGAGTCCTTCACGTAGGAAATGCAGTCCAGGAAACCAAAATTTTCTTGTCAACACTAACTCTTTAGCCAGTGGTTTATTTCTGGAAGTAAAATGATCCATTTTTTTTATTTTTGTTTGTCCTTTTTTAGTGGGAGAGGGGCTCGGTAAATGTAAGAAAATTAAAACTTAACAGTTTTACGGCCTATGGATTCCTGAGGCTAGGACTTGAATAATTCAACTAAGTATTTTGACTACCTTTAAGGAGAAGGTGATATTATAATGTGTATGATATGAAACAGACTTTCTAAGAGTTGGTAGAATAGAGGCCAATACCCCAAAAATCTGTAACAGAATTTAAACAAAAAACAAGTACTATGTATGAATGATATTTGTCACTCTTAGGGCTAGGAAAGTTAAAAAAAATAATTTGCATTAAATTGTTGGATTACAATCCTGGTGTGCATTTTTTGTAAAATTCAGTTGAAATATTAGATTATCTCAAAATTATGTTTTTTTCTAACATTCAAAATTGTTTTTAAAGTTTCTTAGTTCTTGAACATAAATATACCAACATAAAGCCTGATACTAGGTACCAAAAAACAAATTTGTATGTAATGACATTTTAGGGCAATGGGGAAGACTTCAATTCATGCAGTTTTTGGAGTTAATATTAACTCATTTATTTTTAATTATTAGATTTATTTGTTGCCCATCTCATATTGAAGCAATTAACCCTTAAATGCTGCTATTAATGTGCATTAAAAGAGGCTGTGCATATGATCAATTAAAATATAGACATATTTGGAAAATAAAGAGGTAATTTAATGCACTGCAATAGGAGAGTAATAATAGTAAACATATATGAGAGTGAAAAGCACTGCATGTCCCAGGAATGACACCTGCATTCTGTTAAAAGAATTCTGTTTTTATTTGTTTGTTTTTCCTTTAAATAGGCCAAACTGTTTTCAGATAGTAGTTCAGCACTTTAGTGAAGAGCATTACATCTTTTACTTTGCAGGAGAAACTCCAGAACAAGCACAGGTAAATATGCAAAAAATCTGCTGAAATAATATGATTAGGATAGCAGTATATGACATGTTTTTAATATACTGTGGTAAAAATTAGATTGGATTGTAATAATGTGCTTGCTATAGTGATTTATATTTATAATATTTGTGGTCAAAGGTTTTTGGCTCCTAATAAGGCTACTATCTTATATTTTTCAGTTTTGTGTGTGTGTGTGTGTGTGTACTCGGGCACACACTGGCCCCCAAAAGGACCTTTTCCTTGCAAGGAGATTGATATACAGCTTATTGAAGCAGTTTATTAAAGGGTAGAGGGTAAAGGGTTGTCATTATTTAAGAGATCTGTTTAGGAGTGAACAAGAGCATATACTTACAGAAATCGGGCAGTCAGAAAAAGTGTCTTCTGTTGCCTTTATACTTTACCTTCCTGTAATTAAATGTTTAATTGATTATGATCATTCTATTTTTCTGCATTATGAGAAATAAGAAAGAGACCTGCTATAACAAATTAAACTGACTAGAATACCTAGAAATTGGTTAAAGGATTAAACATAAGTGCAATTTTGTCTGTAATCCTGTATCCAGCTATGGACATATAAAAGATTGCACTGCATAGGTGGAAACTGCTGATCTGAGATATTCTTACTTGCAGGACTGGATGAAAGTTTTGCAAACTTTTTGCAATTTACGAAAAACAAGTTCAGGAACATCTAATAAGCGCTTGCGTCAGGTAATGTGTTCTCACTGAAATTGAATTTTTTTTGATTGAACTAATCTATTACTTATATAAAATAAAGAAGTTATAACTTTTTTAAAGAATAATCATAGTGACTATCATGTACTTTAAACAAATTAAAAATTAAAATAAACATGAAATAAATTGAGTTAATAATATTAATAACATACAAGTACTGCTTTGCTTTTAATAATTTTTAACTTTAGTTTTGACTTTAATAATGAAATCAAAGTCAAATTCTAAGAAAACTCAGTTATATAATCAATTATGTTAATTGGCATTTTTCTTATAGATCGCTCTATAATCAAGATGGAGCAACATATATATGTGGTAGTATGGGATGTCATTTCAGTGGGTTTTATGTCTAATTATAGTGGGATATCATTGTGTAAATGTCATCCTATATATGTATGCATAAAGTATAATCTGAGAACTAAGTACATTCTCCTCTGAAAGCTAGTTGTTTAGCATAAATGAGACATTTTTATTGAGAAGCTAACCCAGAAAGTGTATATTATTGTAATAATTGTATATCTTTTATTGGGTTGCCTTCCAAAAATTCTTGAGAATTACAAATAATAAATAGCAAATTGTATTGACTGCCTCTAAATATTTGGTAGAACAATTAACATTTAGATGTTACAGTATTCTTTCTTCCAATTTTATATGTGACAAAATTAGTCACTATAAGTTCTCGTAATCATAAAAATAGTGGTTTTATGATTAAATAGTAACTTTCTTGTAGGATTGCTGTACATTCTTTCAAAAGGCTGTATATCTGCATAGAGCAAACTCTTATGAATTACAGAGAAGCTTGAATAGAGGTTGGGTGCTTATGCCTTCCATATTCAATGGCATTTGTTCATGTCCCAGGAAGTGGCATCATGATCCTCCTCTTCACCTTTCTACTAGTTCCTGCATTAGTAGCAATGTAGGATACCTTGTAGAACAGGGGTGTCAAACTCAATTTCATTGAGGGCTGCATCAGCATTGCGGTTGCCCTTGGGCTGGGTGGGTGTGGCCGGGGTGGGTGTGGCCTACTGGGTGGGTGTAAATGGAGTGGGTGTGGCCTACTGGGTGGGCATGGCCAGCTCTACATCGTTTGCATCAAGGGTGCCTATGGGGGCCTGGGCAGGAGTGGGATAGATCTGAGGATCTCTGCAGAAGGGGATGGGACCAGGTCAAGTGCCAAGGCATGGTCCACTGGAGGAGCCTCACTGTTCCTCTCAGGCCATGCGGGGGGACTGGATGGTGGTGCGGGCTGCCCGGAGCCCTGGGAAGCAGAGGTCAAATGCCCAGCCTGGCCCTCGAGCACCGGCAGCACCAAGCCCATCCCCACTTCCTCAAGAGGGCGCTCAGCTGCACTTACCGCCTCCTCAAGGCTGCTGCTGCTGCTGTGCTTGCTCTCCTTAGCCAGATTGCTCATGATGGGTACAAGGGCAAAGTCAGAGGGAGGCCTATTCCCTCTCCTTGGGAGGAGACCCAGCTTTGTATCCAAAACTTCCTTAGCAATAGGATGGGAGACCCTCAGGATAGGCCAGAAGAAGGGGGCAAGGGGATGGTAAAAGGGCAGCAGGGCAGGACTAAGGCAGGACTTCCCTCAGACCCTCCCTCTCCTTCTTTTGTTCTTTCCTTCCTTCCTTCCTAAGTACAGAATGGTGGGAAAATATTTGAGATGAGGGAGGGAGAAAAACAGGCAAGAAATGCAGCTGGGGAGGTGTGACCCTTCATGAGGAATGAAGAAATGCACCATAGCCTGGAAATGGCCAGTAAATGGCCCTCACCTACTTCACATATCTGGCTTGGTTGGCTCTGGGGGAGGGGATTCCATGAGCAGCGTGAGAGTCAAAGTTACCTGTGCAATGCCGCCCAGCCCCCAGCCTACCTGGTCTTGGCAGGCAGCGGGGCGCTCTCCTCACAGTGCTGAGAGGTTGAGCCGGGCGGTGCAAAGCTCACCAGCTTTGCACCTTGCTGCCTGCTGAAAGTGGGCAGGCTGGGGGCTAGGCAGCATTGCACTTCTCATCAGATTCGTGCCACCCAGCTCAGTTCTTGGCGCTGTGAGGAGAGCGCCCCACTGCCTGCCAAAACCGGGCAGGCTGGGAGCTGGGTGGCCTCGCACTTCTTTTTGGATTCGCGCCACCCGGCTCAGCCTCTCAGCGCTGTGAGGAGAGCGCCCCGCTGCCTGCCGAAACCCCTCCCCCGGAGCCCATGAAACCCCTCCCCTGGAGCCTATCAAGCCGGGTATGTGAAGTAGGCGAGGGCCATTTGCTGGCCACTTCCAGGCGATGGTGCATTCCTCACAAAGGGTGACACCTCCTCAGCATGCACCTAGGGCACTGGGCCAACATGGCAGGGGCTGGTTCCAGACGGCCTTGTGGAGTTAAGACTGAATGTGTTTCATCATAGATGTCCACCACAAAATTGTACATTGGCTCCCGGCCGGCCTGGGCCAGGGCCAAGGCAACGGGGGCCATTCCCTCACTGTTTCCAGGATGGCTTCGTAGGCCACATGAAACCACTTCGCGGGCCGCATCTGGCCCCCGGGTCTTGTGTTTGACATGTCTGTTGTAGAAGATTGTCGCATTCCAAGGGGATTGACGGTTTTTGAATTTATTTTGCAATATGTGCTTTTCCCCACCCCATCCCTTTCAATAACTAAACACGTATCCCTTTTATTGTTGCTTTAGGTTCTGTTTGTCTTTATCCAGGTATCTTTGGAGCAGTAATATCATTAAATAGTTTCTCTGAATTTGTTCTATGCAAGCACAAACCCACAGTTAAAAACCATCAGTCAATAGTTTTGCGCTGTATTCTTATTTCAGTAGTGTGTAAATTCTGTCCAGGCATTTTTCTGCTTTCTTTACCAACATTAGATAGATATGAAAGAATATACAATAGCATTCAAATTAAATCTAATGTGTTATTGCATTAGATTCTTAATGTGGTATTACTAGATATATAATTACTTGATATATCAGTGGATGTAACTATAATTTATGTACAATTGTTATACTTTATAATTTATGTAAAATAAATTTTAAAATTCTGTCGCAATTTTTCTAGGTCAGCAGTCTTATATTGCATGTTGAAGAAGCTCATACACTTCCAGCAAAGCATTTTACTAGTCCTTACTGTAATATATCCCTGAACAGTGTTCAAGTGGCAAAAACCCATGTACGAGAAGGTCAGAACCCTGTGTGGTCAGAGGAGTTTGTGTTTGAGTAAGTTTATGCAAATTCTGTTACATGGGACAGGGATGTTTGCCAACAAACTGAATAGATTTTTTAAAAAACAGCTACTTTAAAATGGAATTGGAAATCATACAGTTTTATAGTATGTAGCTTTTTTATTTGTTAACCAATACAACTGTAATGAAAATACCAACAACTTTCTGCCATTTTGATGTTTAGCGTGAAGATGGAACACAAATATGAATCTGATTTTTCTTTTTTTTCTTCCAGTGATCTTTCTTCTGATATCAACAGGTTTGAAATAAGTCTTAGTAACAAAACAAAGAAGAGTAAAGATCCAGATATATGTAAGTTTGATATTTTTTTAAAAAAAAGATCATTTCAAAACTACTACATTTATCAAAAAATAAAATTACTTTTCCCCAGTTAAATAAAAAATTTTTTCACATAACTTAGAGCAGCTTTTGTCCCCTTCCTACATTATCATCCTTAGCACATAATTTATTGTAAATGTTCATTGCTGTTGGTTCTTCATCTTTTGTACTTATTTGTAATTTCAGTTCATAAAAATATTTCAAAAACAAGAGAGGATAGTCATTATGTATTCTCATTTCAAAGGTCTTCAAATGCACTGATTTCCAATAGACACTTGGGGAATTCATCAGCAATCCTAAACCCGAGTGAACTAGTTTGCTGCTAATATGATGTAGCATCTCTGGCCCTTGACAAAGTTTTTCCCAGATAGCCTCTGCTGGTTGGCTGATCTGTGTTAGTTCCTTGATTCTTTGAGGACCTTTGGGAGATGAAACAACAAAGGCAATGCCTGGTATGCAGGTAGAAGTCAACAAAAATTAAGTTTAACCAAGCATGAGTATGTGCCCAACTTTTTGAGCCTACTCTATGATGATAATAAAGGAGGAACAAGTATTATATTTATCTGTCTATTTTTTTATTATTCCATTTATATGGCCACCCATCTCAACAAGTGACTCTTAGGTAACAGAGTTAAAGTAAAAATGAATTACAAACATTACAAAGTTAAAAAACACATTGGCCAAGCAATGTAAACTCAGATCTCTAGCATAACCGAAAAGCAAGTCCTTGCACTGTCTAAGGGCCAGGGCCATAACTAAGTCTTTAGGGCCTTATGAAAGGCCAGCAGGGTCAGGGCCATCCTGAACTCCAGAGGTAGAATGTTCCACAAGCTGGACGCTATAGGTTAGAGTTAGGGAATGCATTCTAGGGTCTGCCAACTAACATTCTTTGACCAATGGGACCTGAAGCACATCTATCCTTCCTGGCCGATTGAATGGCAGAAATAACTGGGGAGAGATGGTCCCTCAAAGAACCTGTTCCTAAGCCAGGAAGGACTTTTAAAGGGACAACCAGCACCTTGACTTACATCAGGAAGCACACTGACAACCAATTCATCTCATGAAGTACTGTTACATTTTGCACCAATTGAAGCTTCCAAATGCTCCTCAAGTTCCATGTAGAGCACACTGCAGTAGTCCAGATGAGAGGTCACAAGGGCATGAGTGATTATTTGCAACCCCCTCCCCCCCGACACACAACCCAAAGATTTACCAAAGCCCTCCTAGCCAGGAACCTTATATCTGGGAGGACCCCCAGATTATGCACTAGATCTGTCCGTAGTCATTTCTTGAAGAATATAAATATGGGAAATAGATTTAGGAAGTAAAATTGAGGACAAAACTTGGGGGATGGAAACTCAATCTCATTAGTGCTACTTACCCAGCTCTACTCTCTCATAGGACATGCGGTTTTCAGTTTTGTGTTGGAGAGGTTGTAAAGCAAAAGGAATATTCTTTCATGTATGTGGTCTTGCAACATGCAAACACTTTGATCAGAATTTATGGTAGGAATAGGTTTGGTAATAATAATGTATCAATAATAATAGCATATCAAGCAAACACAAATGGGTATTTTAAATATTTTTAGTGCAAAGAATAAAACATTATGAAGCAAACATGATTCTTTTTTATTTACATTAGCAAAACAACTTGCAGCTCTGCACTAGAAGTACATGAAAGGGGAATAGCACAAAAGAATCTGTACCTAAGCCTTTGTAGGAAAAAGATAACTCATAAGTAAAAATTGTGGTCAAACAAAATAGATCCTGTTTTATTCAAATGTATGTAACTGTCTTTAGAAATAGTACAGATATAAAATATCCACCTAAAACACTTCAGAAACTCTGGAAAAGTGAAATAGATATAATAATAAAGTTATATGTTCTGAAACTGATGTAAGAGGAGATAAAATGTCTAATATATAGGTGAACTTGAAAAAAAATGTTTAAATTTGAAAATCTTTGTATTTTAAGAAAATAAATCTTTTTGTACTTTTCTCTCTGAGGAAATGATTTGATGCATCAATTTTCAGGTAGAATGGCCCTGATAAATACTTTGTTGTTTGCATTTGTAGATAACTAGATATTCAGTCAGGCCCAAGTCCAAAGACAACATAGCAAAATTGAACTGAATCCAATCCTTTATTTGCTAACACCTAAGGGACAGAATTTTGCCATACTGAAGCTAAAGGCTTCTAACTTAATAGATATATTCTGAGATTCTCGGACGTGGTTACCCTCAACCTCTTCCCTTTCCTTCCCCATCCAGTTTAGGACTGCACAGTCTCTTAATCTGGCCCTCTGTCTGGTAAAGCTCTTTACTGTAAAACTTCAAATTACTACTACTCCAGGTGCACAATTCATTACATATTCTTAGAATTTAGAATGATTTATTCTGTATAAGAGAGAAAAGTATTGTGTAATCCACGTTGAATTATGCTACAGTTTATCCTACTAGAAAATTGTTTAAAGACAATTTTCAGACACTTTGTTGACCTCAGGGATGAAATAATTCATGTTTTATTATATGTTTAAAACATTAGGATAAGAATGAAGTCAAGTAAAACATTCTAACTAACATACATCGAACTTGAATGTTAGCCCATACATGTATGTATACCTACACCCTTCCACCCCCTAGGTTTAGCCAATACCACTGTGATTTCCTGGTCCATATACAGTTGCAAGAAAAAGTATGTGAACCCCTTGGGATAACGCGGAGTTTTGCATGAATTGGTCATAAAATGTGCTCTGAACGTCATCTAAGTCACAACAATAGAAAAACACAGTCTGCTGAAAATAATAATATACAAACATTACATGTTGCCATGGTTTAATTGAACATAACATGTAAACATTCACAGAGCAGGGAGGAAAAAGTATGTGAGCCCCTAGCCTAATGACGTCTCCAAGA